GTATCAGAATAATCTACATGAATTACTGACCATGCGTGCTCTACTTGTTCGAATGACCAGATTGTTCCTCTCAGATAAGATCTGACGAATGAAGTATTCTGTAGTTGATTTAGATAAAACTTGCAATTTTCCAACGTAGCTCGAAAAAAACTCATACCAAAAAATGCAGTCGCCTGGAAAGTCGAATCATTCAAATCACTGTAATCAAATACAGCATGTCTCAAAATGACATTATGGAATGAAGCATTGACCAAAACCACATTACTAAGTCGAATCTTTCCCAGATTGATTTTTCGTTCAAATTTCTCGCTACTACCAAATCTTACGTTGGATAAATCGCTGCCACCCAAATCAACAAATCGATATCCGGAATCTTTGGCATACAACAATTCACTATCATAAAGAAATTTAATCAAATACCATTTTCGTTTTACGTCTATCTGATCTAAAATTGACGATGTTCTTGATCGAACAAACAGAAGTTCAGGAACTGTCAGATTGGTATTCGGTTTGAGAACGATGTTTGTTAAATCGCGCATATATGCATCATAGATATTTTGCATGCGTGCTTCTTTTGCTGCTCGATCATTATAATCTTGTTGTTCGTGGAGTTTCTCTAAATCTGCGAGGCGTTGACGTTTTTCAACTTCTTCTTGTAGTTGTCCTTGACGTTCCATTCGTGTCAAATCAGCCTCTCGTTGATAGCGTGCGCTTTTCGAGTCTTGTAGAGTCGTTACTACTGTAAAAGCACCAATCATTAAAGGTACGAGAATAGCAGCAAATAATTTAATTAATTTGATCACGGGTATATATTTCTTTCGAGGAGGTTGTGCAGATTGTTTAAATCGAAATGGAAGGACCGCTGGTCGTATTGCACGGCGATGCATGAACCAAACATTAGGCATGATATTGAATATCGAAGCAACAAATCTAACTAGTTTCAATGAAGAATAGCAGACAGAAATGAGCATGATGCCGAGTTCGGAACATAACTGAGAGACAAGCAATGAAATGTTTGTTCTTCATGATCAAATATCAATTCTATGTTTTGACAGAATTCATATGGTATGAGAGAGCATATTGGATCAGGAGTTTCTATCAATTCGAAATAAATATATTAGGCTGATCTTTGATATTCGTTCGAAAAGGTCTTGATTGATGAAATGAAAAATTTCAATTCCGTGTCATTGATCGATCTTTTGATTCAGAATTGATTTAGTGCAAATAGGAAATTTGACACTGGTCGTGACATAATTTCTATTAGGTTGTTTCTTTTCTAAATAATTGCCTGTATTTGTTTGAATACATAAATGAAAGGAAGAAACCTCATCAGCACGTCTATTGTTTGTGAGATTAATCATAGGATGTTCCACATAGATCTCTAACTTTCAACTAATGGTTGAAAAATCGTATTTGCAAATCTGATGAGCTTCTCGCAGATGGGTGTGAATGTGGGGGAAGAAGAGGCGCTTACATCCACACTTCACATCCATCCAACCCATTTGTGGAAAATTTCTGTTCCATTCTATTTAAAAAAAAGATATTTTGTGTTTGTAAAAAGTGGAGACATCTTCTCAATGTTAGCTGCTTTAGGTCCACACTGAAGACTCTCAACAACAGCCATGCAACTGGTGAAAATATTGATATAATCATGTTTTTCTTTGTTTTCTTCATCGTAAACTGGCGATATCGTTATCTTTAGCTTCTCATATGTCTTTGTTATGTATATTTGTCTTCGGATAAAATTCCTCTTTCATTTATTCATCACATAGATCAGAATAATTGAGCCGTATACTCAATTTTTTTATTAATTAATCAACGATGGAATTAAACCGAAATAGACCCTTTACAATCTTTTGGCTTGGGACAGAACGACCAAATAGCGATCAACAAATGAAGATTTATGAAAGAAAGATAATTAAAGATATTTTGTATTTCGATGACGATCAAATAGAAATTTGTGTTGAATGTCTACGATTGACTTTAAAATTCAAATGAAAAAATTTTACTTATAATCAAAGGCATTGAAGCCAACAAGACTGTGTTTGATAAAATCAAGTTTTCTGACATTCACAATTTGCATCAAATAAAAAGAGTTTGTGTAGATGCAGAATATTCTAATAATAAATCCTTTCAACTTTCACATAAACTATGAGTTTATCTTGAGAAAAATTTTATGTATATTTATTTTCTCTTTATTACATAGGTGAAGCAAACATCAAAAGAAAATTTATTTTGTAGTATTCAATACGATTCATGTACATATTCTCAAGTAATTGAACCATTTGTGTATAATATATTTGATGAACTATCATCTATGACAATCAATGGGGATTTCAATCATTTTCAAATATTGATCGCATCTTTCGTGGGCGATCGTTTTTGATCAAAAATTCTTGATAATTATTCGACATTTGATAAAACTAAAGATGAGTTTATTAAATTTGTGAAAGAAAAATACAAAAATTATCTTTCAATATTAAAAACAATTGAAGAATTCGAACAAAATTATAAATCTGAAAAGGCTCTACATTGGTATACAAAACCTTCATTCCTTTACACGTTACTGAATCGATCACTTCGCATGGATAATATTAAAATAATTCTTAATCTTTGTTTTTCATCATTGATCTATACAAACAATTGAACGAACAATATGGAAAACCGTTCACAGAAGAAAACCAGCATGACCTATTCCCTAAATATCATACCTATCGTGGTCAACTTATGTCAAAAAATGAATTGAATAACTTGGGAAAATCCTTGTGAAATATTATCTCTATGAAATATTTTCTATCGACTAGTCTTGATCGAGAAATGGGATTTTATTATTTGGGCGGCTGTGATGATCCTCATGAACCATCACTGATTCCAGTTCTCATTGAAATTCATCTTGAGAAAAAAATTTGTTCAAGTAATTGTGTAAAGCCATTTGCTAATATAACTGAACAAAGTTATTTTGCTGAAGCAGAAAAAGAAGTTCTATTCATGGTTAGTACCTATTTTCAAGTAGATGATGTACGTCGTGGAGATGAAGGCACATGGCATATTCGTTTAGGGATAGAGTAGACGTTTTTTCTGATTCTCTAGACAAACAAAGAAGATCAAGTGCACTCTAAAATTATATGCGGGCGTCTTTCATTCATTCAACATTAACTTCTTCATCCGATACTGGCATTATTCTTTTCCAATCAGGAAAATTCGATCAAGCTGAGACCTACTATCAAAAAATTGCACAACATTTTAACAAATTAGTTTATCTTTCAGGAGACACGGGTGATAACAATGAACATCAGCTTTTGACATATTCTAAATATCAGACCGGAGAACATACAAGTTTCTTCATTAAGTTTATCTTAAGCAAATACAAAAACCAACATTTTGAAGATGAAAGGTCATATGTACTCAGTATTTTACAATATGAAACAATATTGGAACGAATTTTACCTTTGTAGCGAACGCTTGAACAAGCTGGTAATAGTGTAAATCATGTTATACGCTCTCTTTGTCGTCTTGATCTCGGTTCATCATACGAACTGAGTGGACAATTGAAGCTTGCATTCAAGTCATACAGGGTATTCATATTATCGAGAAGTGTTAGTATTATTCGATAAATATCTACCTAGTGAACATCCAGATCAAAAAATGATCAAGACCGTCTGAAAAATTATTTACGTGTGTTGTCTTCGAATCATGTCGACATTGCACAAATATATACGAATATGGCTCCTACTTATGAAAAACTAAACAATGGATTAAAGAAAGCTGAAAATATCTTCCAAAAAGCTTTGCCAAAACAACATACAGATAACATTACTATTTCGATGATTATGAAACGGATTCAAAGAAAATTGTGCATATAGTGACGGATTCCATTTTATTTTTTATAACATTATAGATTAAGAGTGTGTCATAAAAAAGTTTTCATTTGCTTGATTTAACAGCATATTGGCTGTTTCGAATACAAGTTTGTATGTTTATCTACTATGCTCACATTATATCTGATCTCAATTGTATCTTCTTCCAAAACTATGTTGACGACAGAGCTGGGTAAGTGTAAACTTTCTGTAGTATGACTATGGCGAAAAGTGCTGCCGAGAACAAAAGTTTTGAATTCGGTTACTTTGGAACATATGTTCAACACCGTGAAAACATAATTGTTGAAAATAAATGATATCACTTTAATATGAAAAATTTTATCTAAAACACCTAATCACATTATATCCATTAATTTTGCAGCGCCTTTCGATCAATTTTTTGAGTCACATTCGTACTCCTCTACGAAGTCAACAAAAACTTGCCCATATTTCTAGGAGTTGCGGCTGTGAATTGAAAAATTGATTGATAGACGTTGCAAAATAAATCGTTGCAGCGATATTAGGAGTCACCATTGAATTAATTTCAACACAAAAAACTAAACTAATTTGGGAGCGAAACAACGGCCTTATCAGCCATTATCTTTCCGAGTGCTTGATACTCACGTACGTGTACGAATCACAGAACCAGAGGATTTTATTCTATATATTTGTAGACAAAATTTCCTCATGTGTATCAAATATTCGCATATACATGTCTTTCTTTCTCATCGATTAAGTGTTGATGCCTTCGCATGATCAAAATGAAAATGGTATTGATCGTTCAGTTTCTTTTATATGAATTGATGTGGATATGATGGAAGAAAAGAAATACACCCAAACTTGATATGATCTTTCTTCGTCGAACTGCGTTCAACATAGTAAAGTCATTGAAATTTTCAATAAAAATAGGACAAAAAAAAATAATTGTTGTTTTTGCGTGTTATAGATTGAACGCACTTCGATAAAGAAACGTCATAAATAGCTCGGAAACATTTCATTTTACTCAGAAATGTTTCTTCTACCAAATAAAAACGTTTTCCAAAGGTTTCTCATCGAAGCCTGAAAAAATTTTTAGTAATATTGCTAAACTTGTGTTTGATGCTATCGACAGGATGAACAACTTATGAAGGTCAGTTAGAAATACTTGAAAGCGAACACAAAAAAAACATATACAGTTACAAAAAATGTTTCTATTTTGAACAATTCACGAAGATAATTATCAATGAATAAGAAATTGAAAATATTTGATTTCTAAATTTTCTAATTTTATTCACTTGCTGAATATTGTGATTTATGAATTGTATTTTTAGAAGAAAGTACATCTCTCGAAATTCTATTGCACTAGAGACTGCTAAAATAGCTGTTGATTATTAGATACTTACTTAAACGTCTTAACTAATTCGAAAATAACACTGAATAATATTAAATCGAACAAGAACAATAGATTTTATTCAAATAATTATGATCATTCTTTACAATAAGTGTTGAAAGAAATTATTCTTATTTCACCTTGTTTTTTTTTTTAGTGCTTAAATCATATTAAGAAGAGAAGAAAGTTATTTTGCCGTTTGACTACTGTTGCTGCTATTGGATACGGTTAAGAGACTTCCAATAGGCCCGACATTTTTTTTTACAGTTGACAGTCTTTTCAGAAGTGTTCACTTATCTCTTTAATAGTCATCAAACTAGAAATCTAAAATTTGAACTGACTTGACGCAGATTTCTTGTCGCCTACTGAGTTCTTCATAACAATGAATATCAACAGACTCACCATCTCCAGAAAATATATAGCAAGGATAAATTAGAACAGCAAAAGCCAATGTGTGCTTCAATATGGTATGCTAATGGATGGCTGATCTGGGACAATGGGAATAAAGATCATCATATCCGTGCAGCCATGATGGCTCAGGCCGTGACAATCATTAGTCTGTGCTAAAGTATTACCTAAATAGAAAAGCATCGAAAGCATTCTAGTTTATTTCTTCTCATAATAAATTCGAAGACATCTAATTTTCTTTCCAAATAGTGATAGAAAACGTGATAATGACTTGAAAAATCGATGATTCTGAAAGAATGAATTTTCTTTTTTTTCAGATCATTTCGTCTGTTCGTTCTCTACGAAAGCTAATCAATAGCGTTCAGTCATTTGTTTATTTCATAAAGTATTCTTTACTAATCAAGTTGCTATTCTTATTTTGGATTTTACTTGTTCCTTTGAATATAATTATATAAAAGATTACGTAAATCATTAGGCGATATTCATAATAGAAAAAGAAAAAGAATATTCGTTTACTAATCATATGCTCATAGATTGATCGGAAACAGTGATAAAATCATTCAACTGAAGTTTGTTTTTTTTGAAGTAAAACTTAAAGCATCTCTTCGATTTGTTTCATTAATACCAACTCAATGAAAACCTAAGGCAAACAAATTTATTTTAATTCATCATGATGAGTAACAATCAAGATGGGTGTAGATGTGGATCTATGGAGATCCCTTTCACACCATAACCCTACAGCCACAGTCACACCCACACCCTATTGAAACAAAATCTTTCTTAGAAAACTATCTGTGCTTATTCATCACTTATTATAATATAGTTTTAACTTCGTATAGTTTAAATCAATTAAAACAAGCGATAGAACATGATACACAAGCAGTCTAGGAAATCAAATATTGCTTAATAATTTTCGTCAAAAACTCTTTTTTATGCTCATTATCCACTGAAATTATTTTATTTTTTATTGCTTTTACTAATTTGAAATAGTCTCAAAAATGTGTTTTTCCTATCGATGAAAACAATTTTCATACCTGACGTCCCAAAGTTACACAAAAAAAAAGTTGCATATCACAGACATTTATTGATTACTACTCTGTTTTCGATTATTACATTTTTCATTCGAGTATATCAAATTTTCTGTAACGGTATATGTGTGACCGTTGTAAGACGTTGTTTTCACTCACATTCTCTGTTATCAAGGTCTTACTACTTGCTGTTCTTCAAAAAAGAATTCAATTTTGATCATAATATATACACACAGATTTCCACGTGATCCAACGAGTATGAAGAAATTCGAGCCTTCATCATAATTGAAGATTTTATTGATATTTTTCCTGTGCTCTTTCATTTCTATACGATATAAGAGAAAGTCTTACCTATTAATAGTAAACTGCACGTCTTATTAACTTGTCTTTTTTGTCCTCTGTTCTTTTCTAACAATGAGGTCCATTTCTTTTTCTCTTTGTTCGAAAGAGACTACCGTTTCGTTTGCATATATTCATTAGTGACACCACAAGCAATTACATGACTGTAAAATAGTTATTTCGTCGACAACGAAACAACATTATGAAAGCAAACTGTATGCCAAAAATTATACGCTCGAGCTTATTTTTAATATTCGTATTTTTCTACGTAAACAGTATTAACTCTTCACTCGCTCAATCGATATCGTCAGATTTTGCTCAATTTAAGATATGTGTGTGGAAGGAAGAGATTTATGAATTTTGACGCAAGTCGATTCAAAAAATATTGATCCTTTGGTTTTTTATGAGCATTTTACGAAAAGGCCTAAAAATGACCTTATATATAAATGGGGATCCTAATACAACGATATTTCACGAATGGCTCAACCAAATGAGCTAAAATTTTTTATTGCCATATATCTCAATGAATTCTATTTACGATAAAACTTTCGTTTTATAATATTGAGCCCTTGGGATTTTATGAAGCACTCAATATATGAAAAAAGGTCCATTTTCTGTAACTTTGGCGCTTCATAACTTTTGATAAGAATGATATAGAGGTCTGAGATTTTCACTGTTAATAGAACACTAAGAGATATGTCTCTCCTGAGAATATCAGCCATGCATACCGTTCCATTTGCTTGGAATAGCTCCATGAAAAACGAAATTCTGAAAAATGTGGGCACTTTCAGGATAGCCTTTCTTCCAAGAAATGGATTGTCTGGGGCACTGGTTATTAGAACTTTGAAGTACTCTCTTTGGGCTGCAATCCTGTAAAAAAATTAGCGTGGGATCTCCAAGAATGGCCCCAGGGCCCTCATGGCAAAATAGAAAAAAATGAGCCTTTTCTATAGGAAATCTATCTGAGTACAGTTCAAAATTCCTCCAAGGATTCTACTATGTGATATAAATTTTATGTAGTAAAAATCAGCATTTAATTCTCTAGTACCCTGTATCAAAATATCCTTTCAAAGTGAAAAAAAAAGTTTTTACAAAAAATCCCTGTACCCTCCTTCATACCTCTTCCTGTAACATCTTATTCTCATAGCCCCTGTCCCCTCCTAGGGCAATTTTTCGAAAAATTTTTTTTTTAACTTTCTAACGATATTTTGATACAGGATACTAGAGAATTAAATGCTGATATTTACTACATAAAATTTATATCACATAGTAGAATCCTTGGAGGAATTTTGAACTGTACTCAGGTAGATTTCCTATAGAAAAGGCTCATTTTTTTCTATTTTGCCATGAGGGCCCTGGGGCCATTCTTGGAGATCCCACGCTATTTTTTGTGAACCACGATCTGAAAGGAGTGTTGCAGTATTTAGGGGCAGAAATTTGCATCCCCCCCCACAAACCGTGACAGAGAAATTCCATACCCATCACAGACCGTGACTGACAGGGCTTTAGACCCATCACAGACTGTAACAGACAGACCCGGGACCCATCACAGACCGTGATAGAGGAAATGTGGTTCTAAAGCATTAAATAAACGGTTAGTTACAAATGTATCGAAAGAAATGGAGCAAAACGATTTCCATTTAACTAGTAACAATAGATTCATCGTGTTTCACACTTTTATTCCCGCAAGGTATTGCGCTAACAGCTTTTGTATTTGATGTTGTGGATGAATAAACATTTTCTATTGCTGTTGCTCGAGAATAAAGTTGCAGTTGTTGTGTTGTATTTATATAGACGTACTTAATGGGACTTCTTATCTGCATCTGAAAATTTTTCGTTTGATCTTCAAATATGAAATTCCATAAATTTAAAAGAATTCGTAAATTTTTTTTCAAGGTCATCTCCATTTTGAAAAATAACACCACGTAATAATTGAAAAGCGCGATTGTTTTTAGTAAACTTCATCTGAAATACATTATATAACGACAATAATAATACTAATGCTGTTGATGGACTTGTTGTTTCTGAAACAACTTGCCAATCGAGATATAGTTGAAACGTTTCATTCGATATTTTAATACAAGGTGTTGGCACAAATGGATCATAAACGTAATATATAAGAAGACAGAGATGCTGCTGCTTGGAAAGCAAATATTGATCACAGTAGAAAACTGACTCGTATATTGTCAACTATAATTGGACTGAGTGATTGAGAAAATTGTTTACATAATAATTTTATTGTATGAATAGGTAACAAATCTGCATAGGAAGAAAAATTGAGAAGTGTGAAACAAGAATATTGTATAAAATATACAAGGGATTCCAAGTGCAGTAAAATACAAATTAGTATTTTCTTGTATAGGATGGATCAACTCACACAAATAACCACGTCATTATTTTTTCTGATTACTATTTTCAATAATTTCAGAGTAAATATTTAAAAAAGAAGAAAAACTTTAGATAAATAGTGAACTTTTCGCTTCGTTTTATAATTGTTTTAGCTCTAACACGATAATTTTTTATTGTTCATAAATAAAAAGCTTATCAGAACAGCTCTTTTAGAGCTGAAATGTGGAACGCACATGTCTTCTCGAGCTTCATTATACTAATAGGTTATATGCAAAGTGTAAAATCTCTAAAACACCATAGTTCTTTTCGAACGATAATCGATTATCATGGAAAGCTTTGTCTTATTTAATGCTACTGCTCAAACAGAAAATCTATATTCTTTCTTTGACTGGCATTCTTCTTTTATTCGTCTTGATGCTATTCGTTTAGTGTTTGTTTTCTTTTTCTTTAATTTCATTATCATAATTTATTAGTATTAGTCTAGTCATTGATTTATTGGATAAACAAGAATGTTGTACACATTCGGTATATGTACAGCACATCTGACCGAACTCTTATGTATCTCGACAAACTGAAAGAGACTGAAATTGGTTATTATCGAAATTAGTAACTTAATCAGTTCCTGCACTTGTATTGCTCGTATGACAGTTGTAGTAAATCAAAACATCATCCTTGACATCTATTATATACTCATTTATCTGAACGATAATCAGAAATTGAGCTTTTACGAATATTGAAAAAATATTGCAACCGTTTCAATTTTAAGGAAGGCTCTGGATTGTTTACGAACTTTCTAAACCTCGTTATTAATATCGTGCAGTACCTATAATTCTGGTTGCTTATGTCTGAAATTGGGAGAGAAATGAGCTACAAAAACGCCTATTTAAATTGATACTCATTCGTTGCTTCGAAAATATATGTAAGTTCCATAATAAGATAGGATTTATCAAAAGAAAAAGACGATAATTCGAGACAAAAGCCGAGTGATCGAAATTTTCTCGCAAAAATAAATTTTACGATTAGAAAATGTTCACCTGACTTGATAGACAGAACGACAATATTGTCAATTAATTTAATTTTTACGTTTTGCTAACCTGAAACAAATAATTCATTATTTGGTAATTTATCATTCACATTCTGTTCAATATCAATGTTGTCAATCATTTTTATTTCTTCAAAAATCTAAAGTATGGAGAAAAATGATCATTTTAGATTCAAAAGGAGCTAAAGCTTTGAGAAAAAAAACAAGTTTTTAAAAAGACTTACTACCTTCTTCCATTGTTGCAACCAATTGTTCAATACCGCAGTGTTCCATTATACTACTAACATAAATCTAAAACAATAAGCACAGTTATTTTGCATGACTTTCAGAAACCAAACTTAGCCTACAAGTTTTTCCTATTTGTATTTAGCAGATAAAGCTTCACTTCTTTTTGCACGACATCCATAGCCTTTCCCGAATTTTTCTTTTGTTCTTTTGACAGGTGAAGACATAAAAATTGATATGATACGTGACATAAACGACAGAATTGCCCAGAACCAAAAATTACGTTGAAAACCGCCAATATCATTTGATACAAGATGGTCGGCTGCCAATAAGATAAATACAAAATGTAGTCGACCATTGAATGTCATGACAGTCAGACCTGTTGCTTGTAAATAATTTAAATCTTTGACGATAGGTTCAAAATATTTTATACGATTGGTTTGTGATGATAAATATTTTGTAGAGCATATTTCAACAAGACCCATCGATTGTAGCATAGATCGTACAACATCTGGTAAATCTTCTAAAACAAAATAATATAATTGTAGTTTATGGTCGTCTTTTTTAGGACCAATTGTATTTGTAACTCTAATCCCATCTGTATAGAGTTGAATCAAAAATGAATCAGGATACAATTTCAATGAAGGATTATCTTGTGCAACAGTGCCGTCACGATATGTTAACATTAAGTCGGGATTCTACTTTGTTTGTGCTATATTGTTGTTTAAATTTTC